GAAGGAAGGAAGGAAGGAAGGAAGGAAGGAAGGAAGGAAGGAAGGAAATAAGGAAATCTGAGGCCTATAAGATAAGATGATTGAAGAGTTCTTGGAATGATTTGTGGATCAAGAGCCCCATTCCTCAGTCTCCAGAGCTAATCCCATTATGTCACAAAGAAATTTATCTCAAGAAAAAGCAACCTTTCAGATTACCTAAAAACTTTTCTTTAAAGAAAAATGTCATGGAGGAACTAAAGTCTTAAACTTCCAAATCCATTTGAAATATCCGGACTTTAGAAGTACCACCAAAATGTCCCTTTACATTCTCATCCTCCTGTAATTAAACTTACTTTTCTTTAAGCTACAGCATTTAAACTCTAAATCGTAGGATCTGAAGATAGTTTTTTCAAAGCCTGTATCTTATCCAATTTACTGTTTTCCTATTTTGATTACTGGTATTGTAACTATATTGCCTCCTCCTAAGTTGTTTTTTCACAGAAAGTATGTAGTATTTCTGCCATATTGTGGATTTTAATAGGCTTTTGTGGGCTGGCCTGCAAACCTAACCACCCAGTTAGAGGATTGCCATTTCATTTTTTCAGGTAACACAATATTTACTGGACCAATCTTTTGTAATGGATGAAGAAAGCCTCTATGAATCCTCTCTACGAATAGAACCCAAATTACCAACCTGAAGAGCAGACCAGGGAGCTGCAGCTAAAGTGTATACATTCTATATGATAATGTACATATTGTTTTGTTTCTCTTGGACACCCTAGATTTTCTTCTCAGTATGTGCTTCTCAAAAGAAATAAAATCATTACTGTTCTTAGATTATTACAGTAGGATTGGAATACAAATTTCTGCATTGTTGTTTCCTGCGGTGCCTATTTCTTTTGAACACCTGTATTATTCTGTTCTTTTATTCTTATGCTTCCTCCTCAAAAGAGGAAAAATGAACCAATGTATAAGAAGCCCTACGCACCAATAATTGCTTCCTTTTTCCCCAGCCCAGATCCCTGTGGTTCTGATGGGTTAGCAATTCAGGCGCTTACCAGCATATTTTACATAGTTGTTATAAATGGGGAAAACACACATATGCATATATACATGCATTTTGAAGTCATCATTTTAATAAATATATTCCTGCTGGCAGTGATGTAATTTCAAAAGCAAACTTCTGCAAAAAAAAAAAAAATACTGTTATAAAAAATTCCATCACTAAATAATCTTGACGGAACAGAGTAGTATCAGCTAGAATTCATCACACTTTAAGAAGACCGCTATCTCGTCTGATGCCATATCACTCATTGTTCTATTAATATAAGATAGCATGAATCACAGTTTAAATAAACTGAGTGAGTTTTCTATACCTTTGTGAGGAAAACTACCATTGGTGTAACTTATACAATCCATGATTTTTGTAGATTGCTGCCCAGAGTTCATTTATAGTAGGGAACACACACACACACACACACACATACACACACACACACACAAATGTAACTTTTAATATTTCAGCTACATAACAATCATTACAGGCTTATGTTGAGATGCTATAAATCTGTATACCTTGTGATAATCAGTATCATAATGTAGAATTAGAGAAATAATTACCAAGTGTTTTTATTGCATATACTGTAATCCTGTCTAAATATCTTCTAGCAGGAATATAGTAATGTAGTGCTTATTCTGTGAATACTACCATGTATTTTTTACATTGTACAGTATATAAAACACAGTTTAACTTCAAAGTGGCAGGCATGTTCCACTAAAACAAACATAAGACTTTTGCTGTAAGCAATACCTAGTGGTATGAGAATTCTATTTCAAGTCCTAAAATATTTCAACTTACAGCTTGTTTGAAAAAAAGCAAAATTTCCATTTTTGTAAAAATATATGTTTCCTGATTACCTCTTGCTAATAAATCTATTCTATCTCAGGGTGAGCAATGAGTTTAGATGTGTTTATCCTGGACTTTTTCTTTCCCATTCAGTTCAACTCAATCTTTCTTTAATACCTTCTATGAGCCTGGCGATGTTCAAGGTACTGTGAGGTATACCAAGCATAGGACACTGTCCCTTCCCTGAAAGAGTTCTCAGTCTTGCTGGAGAAATGAGGCATACACAAATAATAAATAAATAAATAAAAGGACAGTAGAGATGTGTGTCTGCTGTGAGTCAGAATGGTTAACACTTTATTTTACTAAGTGTTAGCTACCTTCCTAAAAGATACTTGCAGCTAAGCAGAGAAGAGGAGTCAGGCTAGCTTATAAGTAATCATCCTTGAAACTTAGGCAAATGAACACAGAAAACAGACAATCTGGCAACCAAATTAGGAGCCCAAAGCTCTATTAGTGTACCAAGAGCCCAGGAAATATGGACACTGAGACAACTGTTGCAACGACCTGTAAGGTATTTTTTTTCATTCATTCATTCAACAAATATTTGTTGAAAGCATACTACAAGCAAGGTGCTGTCCCAGGTGCCTAGGGGGTCAAGAGATGTACAAAGAAGAACACACATTCCATACCCTCACTGAACCCTCAGAACAGCAGAGGAGATAAGACATTTATACAAACAAATTTAATTAAAGAAAGCCTTTGATAAGATTCAGCTATATGACAGTCAGTCAGTAAACAAACATTTATTAGGTGCTTACTATGTGACAGATACTGTGCTAAGCACTGGTGATTCAAAGAAAGACAAAAAAAAACCAATCCCTGCCTCCAAGAAGCATACATTCTATTGGGAGGAACAACATGTAAATAACTAGTACATAGAAGATATACACACGGTAGACAAAAGTATACCAAGCTTTTCTGACTAAGGTGATCAGCAATTATATCTAATACAAGCTGATCTCCCTGCTAAAGAAGATAAAAGGATTTCTTTTTTCAATTCTCTTTGCTATAGCTTATTAGAGAGTATCAATGGTCTTGAAATAGGTTAGAAGGAATCATCCAGGAAGGAAACCAGAAAGAAAAAGATTCAAAGGGAAGTAAAAGAAATTAGTATCAAATAGCATTAACAAAAATAATGCATTCAGACAATAGTATGAGATAATCTAGCAGTATTCCTCCCTGGTCAGGCCACATCTAAAGTATTTGTGTCCAATTCTGGCCACTACACTTTAAAAGAAATATTGACTGACTAGTAGGTATCCAGAAAACAGTAACCAAAAATGATGCGGGGTCTAGAAACCATAAAATATAAGGAACAATTGAAGAAAATGGTTTAGCCTGGAGAAGATAAATCTAAGGGCAGACATGATACTATCTTCAAATATTTAAAGCAATGTGGACATGGAAGATGAAGCACATTTTGTTCTTTGTTGCTCCAAAGAAATAGGACCAGTGGCAGAAAGTTACATAAAGGCAGATTTCAGTTCACTATAAATATCCTTTGACTAAAAGTCAATCCCTAATATAAGTGATCAAATGATATGAATCAAGAACTTTCAAAAGAATTGCAAACCATCAATAATCATATAAAATTGCTCCAAAAACCTAATAAGGAAAATGAAAATTAAAACAATTCTGATGTTTCACCTGTCACCCATCAAATTGGCAGTTGATTAAAAAGAAAGAAAAATAGTCAATGTTGGAGGGACAGTGGGAAGATAGGGACACTACCTATCTGTTGGTGGAATTATGAATTGGTCCAACAGGTCTGGAAAACAATTTGGAATATACAAGGAAAGTTACTAAACTGTTCGTATCTTTTTGACCCAACAATACCACTTTTAGACGTGTATGCTCAAGGAGGTCACTGACAAAATGGTCCCATCAAAATATTTACGTTTTGTACTAGCAAAAAAGAAAAACTATAAACAATGTGGATAACCATAACTTTGGGAATAGTTGGAGAAACTGTGCTAATATAACATGTGTGGGAATGTGGGGGTGTAGTGAAATATTATTGTGCCACAAGAAAGAGGAATTCAGAAAAACATAAGACTTGTATGAAGTGATGCAGAGCAAAGAAATTGGAACTAGGAGAATAATTTACCCAATGACTACAATAATATAAAGGAAAACAACACTAATAGGTGGCTGGACTCAGATTAAATTCAGTTATCATTATTGGTTCCAGAGAAGAGATGATGTAACATGCCTTCCTCCTCTTGGTAGATTGTGGGGAGACTATGAATGTCAGATGTTGCAAACCCTGACAGAGTGGTCACTATGTTAGTGTTTTTTCTTAACATTTTCTTTGTTACAAGGGAACATTTCATTGTGTGTATATGTGAAGGGAGGGTTGTACTGGAAAATGATTGTGGTGTAAAAAATAAAAACAAAAACAAAAGATACCAATAAAACTTTTAAAAAAAGAAGAATGTTCTACTAATTAGAGATGTCCAGAAACATAGACCAAGCTACCTCATGAAGTGGTGAGCTCTCTAGTTACTGAAAGGAAGCAGAGGTTGGTTGACCATCTGTCAGGGGTGCTATGCCAGGGATTTCTGTACTGAGTAATTAGACTAGAAAATCTCTCGGGTCCCTACCTAAAAGGTCAATGGAATACTTTGTTTTATTAAATAAATCATATCTAAACATACTTTAAATGCTAAACATTTAAATGTTAAATGCTAATCATTAAAATATTTTACCATTAGAATGTTCACCTGTCCAAGAGTCTAGGGGCTAGTTTTAGGGGCTAAAAACACTAGGCCCAGGCTACCAGTGTTGTGTCAGGGCTTTGGAGGGGAAAGTGTCCTATATACTTATTTTTAGAATGTGGGAGGATCCTTTTTGTCAACACAATTCAGAAATGAGAGACTAAAAATCTTTCTCTCCAGGTATGCAGTAATATCAGGGTAGTATAAGATTTACCCTCTATCTCTATATTTCAGAAAGTAATCCCTGGTAATTTGACTAATTCTGCATAGCTACCCCAAGGAGAAAGACAGTGAATTGAGAGTCAGTGACAGAGATGCCAAAATGTGTTTCCAAGCCTCTGAACCTATGAGAATCACTAATATAAATAGGAGATATACCATCCAAGTGAAAGAATGAGAATATCAGACTGAAAAATTACTGGGTCAATATGAAATTAGAGAGAGAGATCTACTTTTAAGGTACAAGGAGATATATTCCTGACCCCTGAAAACTTCTTATTATAAGGTTTAGGGCTAAAAGAACCATGGTACAAGAGAAGACTTTTTAAAAAGAGACATCCAAAGCTGTGTTTTTAAGCTGTGATGTAAATGGACAAGGATTTTGGAGCTGGAAAGTTAACTCCCTAGGAAAAGGAATAAGTTCTGGGAGTTAAGGAAAACTTCAAGAGGCATGAGTTGCAAGCTTAATGAAGCAGGATGGTGGAAAAGACCACAGCTCTGAAACTATAATAAGGAACAGCAACCAGAAATATCTGCTGAGAAATACCAGATGCATAAGGTTCAGGGAAAGCAACATTATACAACCAGAGAACACCAATGCAGATAAGAAACCTCTGGCTACATCCTGCTGGAATTATCCCAAGGCATTATTGTTCGCTTTAACTACTGAATAACAGTGTTCATGCTTTGAGCCTTGTGAACCTCTAGGCTTATAAGGGGTGACAATGAATATACCTCCAGGTTGAAAGGGATTGGGGCAAAATAAATATTAAATACTGAAATCCTCAATCAGGAGGGATCCTATGTGATAAGGATTACAGACATACTCAAAGACTGTCTGCCCTTGGATGATGCTTCTAACTCAATATCACTAAACCCAAACCTAATTATCTTTTCCCCAAAACTGCTTCCTTTTCTGACTTCTCTATTTCAATAAGTGGTATAGCCCAGTCATTCGGGTTTAAGCTGGCTATTATCTTGGATTTTTCACTCTAGCTCCCCTCACATTCATTTCAGTTACTTCTTTCTCTTTAATAAATCTCATCCCTATCTACTTTTTTCTATTCTCACTTCCATGATCCTGTTCTAGATGCTCACTACACCAGCTTTCAGGCTATTGCAAAAGCCTCTATTTGGACTACTCACTTTTACTCTCTCCTCCATTAATCAATCATTCACTACTGCTTCAGACTAATCTTTTAAAAATTTATTTTATTTGAAGATCCATATTCTCTACCTCACCACACACACACACGCACACACACACAC